AAAAAAAAAAAAAAAAAAAAAAAAAAAAAGATACTTTTGAAATAGTACATTTCTAAAATATGGAGGTTATTCAGTATATAACAAGAAAGATGATATGAACAGCAGTGTTTATTTCCCCGACCCCCCAGCAAATTTACAAATACCCAATGTGAGGAAATTTTGGAGTGAGGACTTTGGGAAGTAACTAGGTCATGAAAGGATATTTGTTTTTATAAAAGAGGTCCAAGAGATCTCTCTTGCCCCTTGTACTATGTGAGGAATCAATGAGAAAGAAGTGAGACCTCACCAGAAGCTACATTTTCTGGCAACTTGATCTCGGAATTCCTGGCCTCAAAGTATCAGGAAATAAGTTTTACTGTTATCACCGACTAGTTTATAGCATTTTGTTCTAGCAGTCCAAGGCAAATGAAACATAGAGAAATCCAATGATGATAGATAAAACAGTGCAGTGCAAAAACTTCAGGACCAGTCTTGCAAGATACAATAAATAAGAATTTAATATTACGTTTATACATTAACATCAGAATAATGTTCAACAAGTTACACAGCTATTTTCTAAAAACATTGTGAAAAAGTAAAGCTAAAACAATAGGAATGACATGAATTACTCAAAATTGAAAATATATTCATTTATCTTTTAAACATTTGAATTTATGATTTCTACATAAACAATATTTTAAATATAGAAATAATATTAAAACACAGTATATTTTTTGTTTTGTTTTGTTTTAAGACAGGGTCTCACTTTGTAGTTCCAGCTGGCCCCAAACTCACTATGTAGCCCAGGCTGGCTTTGAACTTGTGGCAGTCCTTCTGCCTCAGCCTTGTGACACACAGTATACTAATTAAAGTTTGTGTCTACTGCACATATTTGATGTAGGCTTATTGGATCAGGTTTCATGCAGAAAAATAATTATGAATATGAAGTTAAGAAAATTAGGAAGGATGTCATCTTGTACTACAAAAACAATGAAGAACAATACATTTCACAGCTTAATCTTATGAAAATTTTATTCAGTATTGCATAAAATCACTGCTAAGAGCTATTAAATACAGTAAAATAGCTCTGTTGCTGTATCAACTATTCTTTTGATACATAACACTCTCCTTGGCCACCTGAAAAGGTGGTCTTCATTTAATTTTTAAAAACATTAAATGACAAACTATTAAGTGTAGATGTTTGGTAATGTCAAAAACATTCATATAGTTGACACATAAATCAAAATTTATCATTTTAAATATGGAAAAATAGGGAACTGAACCTAGACATACTCTGTAAAGCACTTTATAAATAGTGAAATGTCTTTGTTTACCTCTTAAATGCATTCAGCCAAACACTGATAGTTGTATAATTGTGTGATCTGTAAACACTTGTTTATTTATACTATTTCCTGAGGTGATCTGGATACTGTTATTACAGTAGCCTCACTATTTAATATTCCTGCAAATTTACTTTGGAAAACTTCAAAATAAAAACAAAATTTAAATGTGGATTAATGTGTAATTGAACATGCTTTCTCTATTACAAAGCCATATTTAGGAAATTCCTAGTATCAAAATCAAATGTTTTCTGTTTTCAGATGACAATAAAACTTCATCCATAAATTCTAGGCCATAAAAAAATAAACTTCAGAATTAGCTCATTTATCACTAAGAAAATGAAAATAAAAGCAGTAGGACAGTGCATGCATGCTGCAGTAGGCACACACAGCCCTCAATATAGGCATGCAAGCCACGTCACCCCAGCAGCCCAGCGTCGAATAACAGTTGCTTTTCCTAAAGGAAACCCTCAATATTCAGGTTTAAATGCAGTGTTGGCACTCTGCAATAAATAAGTGGGTTTTGAGTTGCAGTTCAGGCTCTCAGTCTCTAAAAGGCTCTCCATCACTGCTCTAGAATAAGGTCTCAATTTTGTACAGGTCTTTCCATTTTAAAAGATGGTAAAATAGTGTCCTCACATTACGTGACTCACACTAAGTATGGGCATCTAGCTAGATAACCTATCTGAAACAAGAGACAGATACCTATCCAATGAAAAATGCATACCTCTTAATAGTCTTTTCTGGAAGAAAAATGAGGCAGTATTATTTATATTTATTGAGGGGGGTGGACTGGCAATTACCAGGATGGTTTACTTGACTAAAGAAAACTAAAAAAAAAATTATTTTTTTGAGACGGTCTCACTCAGGCTGATCTTGAACTCACTACATAGGTGAAGCTGGCCTTGAACTTGTGGCAATCCTCTTGCCTCAGCCTCCCACATGCTGTGATTACAGGCATGCACCACCACATCCAGCTAAAAATTTAATATTTTTCAGAAAATACACTGTTCTATTACTGAAATATTCAATGTTAAATGATTATAGTTAAACAGAAAATACTAAAAACTACCTTTTTCTTCTTTTAGTTTTTTTTTGTTTTTTGGTTTTTTTTTGAGATAGGGTCTCACTATGTAGCCTGGGCTACATAGTGATCAAACTCACAGTGATCCTCCTGCTTCAAACTCCTGAGTACTAGAATTATAGGCATGCACCACCATACCCAGAAAAAAAAAAATTTACCTTTCACATGACACAATCTGCTTTTGCATATTAACAAAGATAGATTTCTTCATTTTCACTATTAAAGAAGATAAACACTACTATATAAATTTCAACACCTTAAAAATAGAATTTATGCAACATTTTAAAGCTCTGTATCATATATTATTACTATCTTTAATACTAGTTATAATTTCATTCATCCATATATCAAAAGGCAGCATGGTAACCTTGATAATGTCATATACATACATATACAGTACATAGACTTACTTTTTACAAAGGATCAGGTTTGGCTAATATTTCCCCACATTATATACAACGACTATTGCCCGTTTTCTAGGAAATTATCCAATATTTGCCTATAGAATAATCCATTGCCACTAATGATTAGGATGCTTGAACCATGCTATTATATTTTGATTCAGTAATATAACCCTGAAGTACCCATGATTTTTTGAAATTTAGGCCTAAGCAGTAGTAGTATTTTTCATGCCAAGTTTTGTGAGCTTAGTAACTTGTATTCTAAAGAAGGAAAACTACCATATTTTTGCTTTTATTTAAAACAGAAGCACCTGCTCTGTGCTCCAGTAAAGTAAAACTTAAATTCTTAAAAAAGTAAAAGTTAAATTGAAACTTAAATGATGCTTCTTGAAGACACCCACAAAAGTGATCTCTATACCCTAAAACAATGTTTAATATTCACTGAATTACAGAAGTAGAAAATGCATTTTATTTCTCTGTAAGTATAAGAATATAATTCTCTATCATCTACAAATATAATTTGGTAACTTGTATTTCAAAGGCAGCCTATGGTGCCATATAGATTATCAACTTCTATTTACCAATTCTGCACATTACAATTATCTGTAATTATATTTTAACCCTGGCCAACCACTTACAAATTATCTAACTCTTCCACAAATGGGCTGCAGATGGTATGTGTACAAAATGTTTCAATATTTTCAAAACTTCAAAGTAATAAGCTAAGCAATAATTATTTGTAAACCCACAGTACTAAAATTATAGTGACACTTTTTATATGGCTGAATCATAGAATATGACATAACTATGTTATATTAAGCATTAGTTCACATAGGTATAGCAATATTTTCCAATAGTGATAAACATATACCACAGGAGAGCCCTGAGATGATTTTTAAATGGAGTGGTACATGGATGAATACTTTCTCTTTAACAGTTATAAATTTGTTTTAATGTTTATGAAAAATAGTAAGCATGTAAAATGTGAAGTATGATTGCTTATAACATGGCTAATGTATAAAAAGCTAAAATGTTGAAAAAAAAGTAAATAATGGCACAGGGTATATTACATGCAATCAGGAAGGTGTTAACCACCTTTCAGAAACACTGTATTAAGGAGTGATTTCATTTAGCCAGGATCATTTCTGAATGCTTGTAATGATGAGCCATATCATAAAGACGTTATTCTACTGCTGTAAACTGTTTTGTCCCCTAGGACAAATTTTTGAAAAAAAAAAAGTCTTTACATTTAAGATACTAATTTGAAATCACTGAGTAAATTTAATTGACTTTAAAAGCATTCTCCAAAATGACAAAAAAAAAAGTTAAAGCGTTGTTGAAAGATATGCTCTCCCTACAGAAGAGAGATTACAAAGGCACATAACATATTATGGTTAACTACTGCAGCATTCAAATAACAGTGAGTTAACTAATTAACAATTAAAATAATTATAATATTCTTTCATAAAAAAGAAGATATGCTTGTGCACTAAGTGCTCTCGATTCTGGAACCACTTGCACATAAGAGTCGCTAACATGGACCCACTGGCCTCCCGATTCTCGATCCAGTTCTTTCAAACCTACCAAAATAAAAAGGAGAATTTTACAGTAAGTATGTTTTATGTCCTTTAAAGTATAAACAGCAACTTATTCATTACAGACTGTGTTTATCTAGTGATAGATCTTATTGTATGAGTCTCTTTCTTCTTGGGTTAAATATTTTCCAAAATGAACTAATTCTTTCAAAGCACTAATATTACTGGGGTAAATAATAATTATCTCCAGTTAGTAACTCTTTCATTTAAATATCTAGTGAAATATTAGTTCTGTAAATATTGACTTGCTCAGAGAAAAGAAAAATTCACTAAATGGCAGGAAAGGAACAAAGTTACTCTGATCATCTAGAAGCAAAGCCAGAAAATTTCCAACTCCATCTGGAGGACCTGGAAGGCCTTCAAAAAATGTTGGTTGTTATTAAATTTGGATTTTTTTGGGGGGGTTATTATTAAATATTACTCAATACCTTGAAAAGCCGTATGTCACTTTATATCACCTACTAGGTACAGTCTGATAATTAGATCCTCTGAGATTAAGCACTCTTAGAGGTAATTTCACTTAACATTAATAAAGTGAATCTAGGTGAAGTACCTGTGAAATAATAACCTACTTCTTCCCAATAAAGGACAAATTCATTTATTTTCAAGAATAAAATATACTTTAAAAAGAATAAAGTATACTAGGCTGGCATACCAGGCACGCTCTTCTTTCCAGTGATATGTTCCAGTAATTTCCTGGAGGGCAGTCTCACTTTCACATAAGCAGTGTAATGACCTCCTCTCATTGAACCGCTATGTTCCACTATGCCATAGAGATCATAGAGAACTTTATCTTCCACACTTACATTCTTTTAAATAAAGGGAAAAAAAGAGGTTAGGAACATTTAGTGAAATGCTATTGTAAGAAAAAGCAAGTAAATGTATAACCTGCTTAAAACAGAGAAATGTATTATTAAAACTACACTGAGATACTTTTTGCAGACTATTAGGCTTGACAAGACTCTGCTGGGTCGTCTGTGGGGGCAAAAGGGTACTTGCAGAGATTGTATGTGGAACACAAAAGGGAACTATCCTTTTGCAGTGATATTTCATACTATCTAGCTAAGTTCTATATATTATTGTTGTTGGATTCATCAATCTGATTTATAGGATTCTAACCCATAGGGACATGAGGAAAAAAATTTTAAAAGGCATCAGACTATTAACAACAGGATTACTATAATATCAAAAGACTCCAATAGACTCAAACATCCATAAATTAAGGGCTAATTAAATAAACTGTGATGCATCCACCCAATAGGGTTATTAGCTGCTTTAGAAATGGAGAAAGGGTGAGGGTATGGGGAAAAAATGAGAACCAAGATGTCACATAAAGGTACAAGATTCCAGTGATGAATTTAACTGTACTGTATACCTTAAAAATACCAATAAATTCAAAAAAATGGAGAGAGGGAGGTAGGGGAAGTGGAGGGCAGACTATAACTAGTTCTATGAAATATCCTTCAGCTTATAAGACAAAATAGAAAACAGGGATATATAGTATAAGCTACCATTATTTAAGAGGGAGATGAAAATATACATAGTAATCTACATATATGCACACGCATGTGCATGTGCGTGTGTGCGTGTGTGTGTGTTTCTCCGTACTGGGGATCAAACTCAAGACCTTGTGCTTGTGAGGCAGGTGGTGGCACCATTGAGCTACATCCCCAGCTCTTGCTTACATTTTAAAATAAAGAAGAGGGCCTGGGATTTAGCACTCAGTGGTGCCACCACCTGTCTTGCAAATGCAAGGACCCAAGTTCAATGCCTAATACAAAAAAAAACAAAAAAAAAAAACAAAAAAAAAACTAAACTAAACTAAAATGAAGAGTAAAACATACTTTTTAAATTTTATGAAAGTAAAGAGGAAGAAGATAGAATAGACATGAGAAAAAAAGGTTTCTTTGAATTTATTTTGTTTAATGCATTTGATACATTTGGCTTTGAAATTATATAAACATTTTATGTATTAAACAAAATTAAACTTTAAAAAGCAATCTCCAAACAGGAAAGATTTTAAAGTGCACAAATGAATAATATAGCCAGGTGTGGTGACACTTGCTTGTAATCCTAGCACTTGGGAGGCTGAGGCAGGAGGATCTCTGCAAGTTTGAAGCCAGCATGGGCTTCAAGACCAGTCTGAACTACATAGTGAGACCCCGCCTCAAAAACAAAACTAAACAAAACAAAACAAAAAAACAATATATCCAGCAGGTGACATAACTCATCCTGACCGAAACCACTGAGGTTATGTCAAAATGACTAAGGAGACAGCCTGAAGTGGCATTCAATGGTCAAACAAGGATATATCAGTTAATCTATTAGAACATAAAAAGAACAATGTAATATATTGAAACATGTCTATTTAATCCTGAAATTCATCATGATAAATTAATCACAGTTTGAGGATACTTAGTGAAGTACAGTACTTCATTATTTTAAAAACTGGTTTAGAAAGAGTCAAGCATTTATCCTTCCTTTTCTGTAAGAACCACACCATAAAATAAATAAATAAAAAGAAGCACTGTGGAGGTAGAGGCAGGAAGATATGATGTGAGTTCCAGGCCAGCCTGAATTACACGGCAAGACCCTGTCTCAAATAAACACAGCAAAACAAAATAAAAAACTGAAGGAATAAAAATGAAGATAAATGGAATTTCTCTAGTACTATAATAAATGAAGGAGATTTAGAAAAGAATACCTCCACAGAACAGCCTTACCAGAAAGGAGGGGGTGTGTTCAAACCTGAATCTACTCAAGTTTCTCTAGGTCTGACTACCGGTTTGTAGTATATAAAGAAGACAATCAAAACCTAAATTATAGGCAATTACAAGAAAAATAACCCAGTTTCTTCAAAAACTAAATGGCAAATGAGGGGAGAGAATCTGAAGAGGAGAAACCACATAAAGAACCACATGGCCTTTATATAGATATTAACTCATTTTAAAATCACATTTGGGAGATAACTGTATATATGTACACTAGATGACATGAAGGAATTACATTAAATGATGCTGTAGTTATGTTTTTTTTAAGAAAGATAGACAGTCTTTCTTATGTTATAGATGAAACATTTATGGGTGAAATGATGCCTGACACTTCAAAGAGTAACAGGGAAATGGAGGATGTGCTCAGACCTGAGGTTCTAGGGCTGGGTACTGGAGGCTCATTATAATGTTCTGCCTAACTCTGTGCACACTAGAAATCCCCTTAATAGGTACTTTAAAATATATAATGTTCCTATAAATTTAGCATAACTTACTGGATTTCATTATTATTTTTAACACATTATTAAATTCTAGCATACCAAGTATTAACACTTGACAGATAGTGCTGGTTTTCCACAGTAGATAAATTAGATTTACCAGGAAACAGCATTTAAAATTCTTTCGTTTTGACTGGGCAGTGTATTGAGAAAGTAAAGTTCAACAGCATTTGGGTATTTATCATCAAACCTGGACTTCTGGACAATAATCATGCGCAGTACTTGAGGTTACTTTGTAAGTGGTTCCCTCAAGAAAAACTCACTTTTATCATCACAGTTCTTACATAAAGTACAAGCGACTGTAAACCTATTTCTATACCTAGAGGTATAGTAGTATGACTAGTCTCTATATCAGTTAGTAAGGCATTAGCCATTTTGAAGTATCGTACTCATCTGACAAATACACTCCTCTCAGTGGCACACATGAAAAACAGCACATTGGTTTGATTTGCAAAAGATACAGAACTCCACAAATGCTAAACTGACTACTGATTAAGCAGATCATTTACGAGGAAAGAGAGAGCACAATACCTGATCACTTCTCTCAGTAACTATCAGCTTATAATACATTTACACACAGCTTCTATCTTCATAAGCATCATGCCTTATCTTTCTCCCAAAGGTCACATCCAGTGTATTAAATGTGCCACAAGTTACTGATTTAACTGCATTTTTAGAGGTGAAGTTTATTTAAAAAACAATGAATCAAAGCAGAGCTAATAAATAATGCACAGAATACCTTTAAGCTTATTAGCTTATTAATAGCAAGTTGATTAAATTCCCCAATATACAGTACCTTACAGGTAGCAGAGCAGAAGGGTGCCAAATCAAGTGTAAGCGGAAAATCTACATGTCTGTTTACTTTACGAAGATTCATGCCAGCCTTAAAAAGATTTTTTTAAAAGTGTTTTTTAATGCAACAAAATTAAGTCTAAAGCACTGTGTTAAAACTAAGAGGAATTCTAGAATTTAAATAAATATGACTAATAGAGTCCACAACTGATATGATTTAAGTTAAAAATTAGGTTTCATAAACAATTACTGCAAAGATTATTCATTTAAATGGGTATTGAACCATGAACAATAGGGTACTTGCACTTCCTTTTCAACACCTATGGAAAAATAAATTTAACGTGTTAAAAGCCAAGCTACTGAAACATATGCTATCATGAAATGTATCCAAGTAAAAAGCCAAGACCTTGGTGTTCTAGGCCTAACTCAATGACTTGTTAACAGTGTACTTGATTTAAGGACTTCATCTAGGTTGAGGCAAAAAACAGGTACCAAGTAGCATGGTGGTGCACACCCATAATTCCAGCACTCTGGGAGGCTGAGGCAGAATGATTTTGTGCAAGTTTAAGCCTAGCCCAAGCAGTTCAGTAACTTAGCAATACCTTGTTTCAAAATTTAAAAATTTTATAAAGGACTGGGCATGTAGCTCATGTGCAGGCCCTGGGTTCAGTCCCAGGTATGGAAAAAAAAAGTACAAATGGATTATAAATCCTTTTCATTTCTAAAATTCAATAATATCCACTCATTAAAAAGAAAAAACCTGATCAATAAAAGTAAATGGCATACATTACACAAATCAGAAGGAACCTTTATGGGATTGTGTGTGGGTGGTGCTAGGGATTGAACTGCTAGGCTGTTCCTACACCCTTCTGCCTGCACTCTTGCCCTGTTCTCTGCTTCCTGGCTGCCTGAAGTGAGCAGCTCTGCACCACACCCTTCCTTCTGTTTCTGCCACTGAGCCAGTCAGCCATGGGCTGAAACCTGAAACCATAAACCAAATTAAACCTCTCCTCCTTTGAGTTACAGGTGTCAGGTATTTGTCCCAGCAATGGAAAGGCAATTAATACATTTCCTGAATAAATCCAGCCCCCTTCCCAACTGATTTGAAAGTCTTCATCTTAATATAGTAACTTTAAATTGTATTCATGAGTACCAAAAAAAAAAATAAAATAAATTGTATTCATGTTTTATTTGCTGGTAATTCTAATCAAATTCATTCCATTACTACAGTTTTGTTTTAAAAAACAAATTTTAAAAATTAACTTTTTTTAGTATTTTAATTATTCATTCTTCCAAAGAAATTTAAAAATACAAAAACTCACTGAGAAAAGGCATTGTATTAAAATTACAAATAAGTGGAAAAAATCTGACACATTAAAAATATTTAGCTGCCCTGGACTATGAAGTCCTACAAATACAGGCCTGTCTTGGAGCCTTTTTAAGTGTTGTTTTCCCTCAGGCACCCTTTTTGGGGGTCCTGAGTGAGAGTTCAGAAAGCCCTGTGTACTTGACTTGCTTTTCGTTTTCTGAGACAGGGTCTCACTATGCAGTCCAGGCTGGCCTTGAATTCACTGTGTAGCCCAGGCTTGGCCTTGAGCTTACCAGCAATCGTTCTGCCTGAGCCTCCCAAGTGCTGGGATTACAGGTGTGTGCCGCCCCACCCCTGTGTACTTTCTTGGCTGCTTTTAAGTGTCCATAATAAAACTTATTTTCCAGTAACGCACACAGACATATGCCATTTAGAGGTATCACTTAAGGTTTCTACTGCCAAAATCTTCAATTATTGTGAATTAAACAATTTTAATCAGAAAAATCTTGTAAACTCTTATGGCTTGAAATCCATCAAGACAATTTTTTAATTCAACAAATTACTCTCTAATCTTAACAATATTCTAATGGGACTTAGTGCTCTGCAAAACACACATGATGCGGGAAACTACAGTGTTACTAAGGGGATTTTTACCTGATGGAATCTTTTAAGATGGAGAATTAGGATAGCTGGAACAGCAGAAATGAGCAATTGCTTCCTCGCATTAGTATAAACTCCTTCTGCTTTCTTTTCTGTATAAAATACAATAAATTTGTAAAAATCTATCATATATACATTTATACATATAGAAGCATTGTATTACATTTTTAAAACATTAAAGAAATTGGTCCTAACGGGGCAATTAGCAATGTGAAATAGGAAGAAAAGGACCAAAGGTGTAGGGACAGTGAGAAGGATAGGGAAAGGGGAATAAGGGAAAAGGAAAAAATATAAGAAAATGTAAAAATGGAATTAAATTGTTTGAAGGTGGGGAGGGTAGGACTGGCATGTAAAGGTACAAGATCCCAGTAATGAATGTAACTGTACTGTCTACCTAGAATGTACCAATAAATTCAATTAAAAAAAAAGAAATTGGAATTCTGATTACCAGGTGTCTCTATTCCTTTCCAAAAGACTACTAAAATGAAAGTTTAGTAGGGAATTCCTTAAGCACATAATGACAAAGAATAGGAGAGATGACACCTGCCACAGAACTTTGGGAGCTGGAAAGCAGATGGACTAGGAGTAACTTGTACAAGTGTCCTTCAGCCAAACACAACCAGAAGCACAACTATAGTTTAATAAGTTGAATTTATTACTCTGCAGCAAAGGGAGAATCCACAACATGGGTAATCATGGGACATTTCAATAAGTCTGTTACAAAGGATTTATGACAGGTTTAGAATATGGACAACTGCATATGGAACTCTAAAGTGGTATTTTTCCCTTCTCCCATCTAGCGATTTTTAAAAAATTACTAGTGTATTAAGCATGTCTTTATTCTGATGCTTTGATATCTACAGCATGGCTGACACTGGAGGGACAGCTTCTCCCAGACAGTGAACGATTAATATGCATATTTTATATGCACACCAACATTCCCAAATCCATATCCCATCAATATCCTTTATTGGACCATTATATTCTGGGCCACTATCCTGCTGCCTAATCACCCCAGGGCCAGGTACCAGTTAATTAGAGATAGCCCCTATACTCAAGATAAATTATTGGAACTAGACAATACAGTCTTCTTTACCCTGCCTTACCAGTTTCTTCCCTCAGAAACTATATTCTCTTCCTGACTGATCGCAGTACTCCACCACAGGGCCCTGTATAGTATGGCATTCTCCATTTCTTGGGAATCATTAACTGTATTTTTCAATTGCAACCACTTTCTGATCTCTTGGCTTTGTCATACCTGAATAAGAGTAATTCCCACATTTTAAAGCAACTATTTAATTAAGACGAGGCACACTGAGAATTTCTTACTTAACAATCCTCCCTTTCCCATTTTTCTTGGTCAACTAAACATAGTCATTATATGACTACCTTCATAGCATACAAATATTTAAAATCTTTCAACACATCTTAAGCTTACAACAGACTGATGGGATTTATGAAAGACATTAACTCCCTGGAGATACAACCAAAAGTTTTGGAACATTTTTTTCAGAAATATTTTCAATAGCTAGTTCCCTCAAATAAAATTATGTGGATTTGCATTTTCTCTCCTTTTTGGGGCGGGGGGTACCGGGGATCAAACTTGGAACCTTTTGCTTACAAGGCAGGTGGCACCACTGAGCTAAATCCCAGGCTGGATTTGCATTTTCAAAACAAAGGTACATACTTCTTGCTCTTCGATTTATTTCAACAAAAATTGGTTGAAAAGTGATCAAAAATCTACTTACCCAGTATCTTAGGTGCTGAGGACAATTATGAATAAGACAGTTCCTGTGTCAAGCAGTTCAAGTATGAAAAGAAGGGTCACAGATTCCTCCACTTGGGATCTATAACCCACTAGTCACTGGTAATCCGACAATAACACAAGAACAAATTAAGCTAAAAATTTACCTGCAGAACTGGTTTCCTTTTGGTATTTCTGTTTCTTTTCAGTACAACTCTCACAGAGAAGCTTATTATTCCCCATTAGTAATTCCATGGATGTAAACTGGTAGAGGCAGGACTGAACTGAACATTCTTTAGAAGTAGTTACATAGCTCTGAGAAAGGGTCTGAAAAGCATTTTGGGGACTGTGCGACCTCATATATTTCTCCTCTGAAAAATTATTTGGAACATTCAGTGGCTGAGTTTCTCTGTCAAAATCTCCATCTCCAATTACAGTGCTGCTCAAACAAAGCTGAGAAATCGCGTCAGCCATTCCCTCATCACCGCTGCCGGTCTCCTTGGCACGTGGTACTTCCCTGGCTGATGGCTGGGGAAGGCGCCCACCCAGGTGCACAGTGGATTCACCACTAGGTCCAAGCAGAATGGTAGGCTTTAGCGCGCTTTCTGATTCCGAGGCCTCGCTGTCCGCGTCAGCGCTGCTCTCAGACTGACTGGTGGCCTTCTCGCTGCCCTCGCTGGGGCTTTCATTCAGAGAGGCCTCGGTGCCCACAGTGCTCACAGACGCTGAGGGCTCTCCACTCAACCCAAGGCTGGCATTTTTCTTATGCGTAACAGTTTTCTCTTTTCCAGATGACAACTGTCTTACATGTTTTCTTTCATGATTCTGTAAGTTGACAGTGTTTTCAGAGAAAAGAATCTTGTGACCTTATTGAAAATAAATGTCAATAAGTCCCATTTAACTGTTCCACAATTATTAAATAAGTACTGTACTACTCTTCTGAGGTCCATTTCCTAATTATCCAAACTAAGAGCAACAGAAGATATACAAATACATACTTCTAACTCAAAAGTAAAGCTTTACATGAGAAACTAACAACAGTGGTTGCCTGTTTATATAGGAAGAGAGTTTTTATAGAAGACAACTATGAAGGAAACTTTTTTTTTTTTTTTGAGACAGGGTCTCCCCTGTAGTTCAGGCTGGCCTTGAACTCTCAGCGATTCTCCTACCTCAGTTTCCCAAGTACTAGGACTATAAGCTTACAGGGGCTCAACCACGCCTGGCTGAGGGAGACTTTTCAATTAAGTCTTTTCTGTTTTGTTCTTTTTTAACTTTGGTGCAGCAAGTTGTACTCAGGGCATTCACACTCACAACCTACATCGCCAACCATTTTTTTATTTTAAGATAGGGTCTAAGTTGCCCTGGCTGCCATAGCTCTGAAGAAGAATATTTTATTCATGTCTAGTCTTTAATTTGCCTAACAGTCGCTACTTTTTGATCAGACTAAGTAGTGTCAACCCTATTTCTTGAGCTGGGAGTGGTGGCACATGCCTATAATCCCAGCACTCTAGAAGTTGAGACAGGAGGATCACCCTGAGTTTGAGAACAGCCTGGGTTACATAGTGAGTTCAAGGCCAGCCTGAACTGCATAGTGAGATTCTGTCTGAAAAAAACAAAAAACAAACAAATGAAATAAACAAACCCGAACTAATAAGGCTTCTAGATCTGTCTTAGACAATAAATGAAGAACACAGAAAACACTGTTAATACCATGCATGAGAAGGCATCAGAAAATGAAATATTACTGAATATGGGAAACTGTTTTTAAAAAATCAGCAAATAAAATGCCAAAAAAAGTGAGAGAGAAATCGTAGATTAAAGAAACATGACGATCGACAACAATCCAAAGTATTAAATTCAAACTTTAAAAAGCAAAAACTGAGTAAAAAACAATTACAGAAATTTAGATAATGAATGAATACTTGGTGTTACTAAGAAGTTACTGATATTTTTATTTATGATGATGGTTCTGTATAAGGAACACCTTGCACATATTTTTTTTTCTTTTTGAAGTGCTAGGTATCAAACTCAGGGCTTTGAGGCACTAGGCAAGTACCACAGAGCTACTCTCAACCCTTACAGAATATCTTTTAGAAATATACTTTGAAGTGTATATTTGGGATTTGTTTCAAAAGAATCCGGATGGGTAAGGGGAAGAATATGGGTAGATACAGAAAAGTTTTATTAGCCATGAGTTGATCATTATGAAGCTGAGAGATGAGTGCCCTGGACTTGATTATACATTCTTTACTTTTGTATATACTTGAAATTTTTCTTAATAAAAAGTGTTATAACCAAATGCCTAACAAGTAATGCACAGAGACTTGCCTTTTCTTTAGATGAAGGATGCTTCTTGGCAGCTCTGGGTTGATGAGCACTTTCTATACCAACAGTATCACAGTACTGGTCAGGATCTGCCTCCTGTAAGCTTCTATTTTTATTCACTTTTCCCAACAGCACAGGTTTTGAAACCTATTAGGATGTTGTATACATAGCAAACTGTTTCAGCAAGTAAATTCTGGATATTATTTTCTTTTTAAAATTCCTAACTCACTTGAAATACAAAAAGGACATTTTTAAAATAAATTCTCAAAATATGAAGTGTAAGAATTTAAATTCCTAGAGAATATGAACTATATCATGCTTCCTGTACCCCTGCACAAACCCCAATGTCAAACTTAATTATATATAAAAAGATAAAGCCTCCCAGATATGATAATATACTCAACAAATGTCTAAATGAATAAATATTTTTACAAAAGCCTCATGATTATTTTTTCCCTTACCCTTTCTTCTATTATAGGAAGTGAAATATCAATGAAAGGATCTGTCACTGTGGAGATCTTCAAAAGAAAAGAGATTGAGAACTTCAATTAGAATTTTAATATATTTTATAAATATCAAAGAAATCAAACTTCTAGCAACTTAAAATTTTAAGCTAAAACAAAGTACAAAATGTTAAGAAAAAGCCATAAAAAACAGATACTGACAGTATTTTGTAGATTCTTTAGAATAATTCTGTTTTTTAAAATTTTTCCTACTTTTGTGAGAAAAAAATCAACTTCTATGTTGAATATTCTGGAAATTTAAGTGATTCATCATGTAGACATATTCCACATGTGACACAGGCTAGAAGGGAATAAATAATTTATAATTCTAGAGAGGGGAGAAAAGTGCTCCATAATCTGGGACAAGAAAAATGAATATAAAAACTTCATTTTACCATTAAAATCTGATAAAACTTTAAACCTATCAAAGGAATATTCCATACTAAGCAAATGAAAATCTATAAAAATTTATACATGCTTTAAGTTTTTTGTTAAAGATGGCATTTAAAATGAAAATTATTTTGAAATCCAAGAGTACACACACACACACACAAAACTTCAGTAAGTCACATAAATACAAAATTCCAAAATTTCAATCAGTTATCATAGAATCACCCATTATGTCACTATATTATTTCAACTGGAATTATATTTTAGGACATTTCAGTGTAATGTAGTTACTGTTTTCACAGAAGTTTCTCACTTCAGTCTAAACAGGAAGTTAATATATTTTAGTACATTAAGATAGATTAAAAGCACTACATAGGTGTTTCAAAAGGGAAATCACAAACATTTACTTGAAAAAGTAATTAAAAGTTATGTCTTTCTAAGAGTGCAAGGTCTATTTTTTAAAACACTTTTAGGAATGTCATAAATTTTTTAAACAACTGTTCATTATTATATGTGAAATAAAACAATAAAATAATGTGATTTTAATCTATTCTATAAGGTGAATTTCAGAATACCTACATTTGCACATTCTTCACACATGACTGTGCTAGTTAATTCACCAATAAAGATCCGATCTATGAAGTTCATTTTCACACCTTCTTTTCCATACGCTGCAAAAATCATACTTTTTTAACCAAAAAAAAAAAAATCAACCATCCAACAGTGTTAAATATTATTATCTATTCAAAAGTAATCTGAATTGGGCAAATTTCCTGTATCACACTGAATATTTTACTATATAAATTTATACTATCGTTTTCTCCTTTACAATTTTGTAGAGCAAATATGACTGACAAATATCATACTCTCCAAGAAGTAGTGAATTGTTCTTAAGAGGCGAGTGAGAGCATCCATACCATACCTCAGCTTCTCCTACAAAACCTTTCAAAGACTGTGGTTAACACCGAAGTAAATGGAAGAATTGGGGGCTGGGGATTTAGCTCAGTGGTTCTGCCCCCTGCCTCACAAGCTCTAGGACGGGAGTTTGATCCCCAGTAATAAAAACAACAAAAAAAAAGAATTGGGGGAAAGATTATGTTTTCAGGATGCAGATGCCAGGACCATGACTATGAGAAATAGTTAAAAAGACAAGTAAACACAGTGTAGTGTAAGGAATTAACATGGGCATGAATAACTCATCTAACCATACATACAGACATGCTTAATATTACTTCTGCAAGTTAAAATCACTTTTCTTAGGAAACATTTATAAATCAAAAGACACTGCCTTTCATATTTTTAAAAATAATCTGGGGTTTGGAAAAATAGATTAAACATAAGCTACAAATGGGCTTAAGCTGGGCAATAAGTACAAGAGGCTGCACTATACAATTATCTCTACTTTAACAGAAATTTGAAAGTTTTCTTAATAAGCCACAAGGGGGAAAGTATATTAACAAATATTCACTCTCTTTTCAAGTCCTCTTCTGTCTTTTTTAGGCCTTTACCTTCAAGTTTCATATAAATAGCATTTAAAATAATTTAAAATATCCGAGGCACTGAATGACAGAGCAGATTTATATTTGACATATTAATAAACATTTATTAACTACATAACTATTTAGAAATGCTATGGTAAATTAAGGTGTTTCATTAAGAAAAACTACACAAGGGATTAAAATGGGAAGGATTACAAAACAGAAAGAAAAACTGGGCTGTTATCTCAATCATGCACTAGATGGCACTATCCTAACACAATATGGAACATACTTCAGACAAGAGCTTCAATGTTTAACAGTGATACAATTTTAGAGCACACAATAACAATGTTTATAAATTATATGCTATAAAAATTAGAAAAATATAAATAGAAGTTAGAAAAGAAATAAGTAAAACATATTTTAAGATGTCTTCTAAAAATGAGGACAAAGCTGGGCCAGAAGGCTTGCAAGTTTGAGCACACCCTAAGCAACTCAGTGAAGTAGTGGAGCCCTGTCTCAAAATAAAAAATAAAAGGGGTTGTAATGTAGCTCAGTGCAGAGGCCCAGTGTTCATTCCCCCAGTACTGCAAAAATTAGTTAATTTAAAAAACAACTTCATACTAACATTAGTTAATATCTAAAGGCACAATGTACACTTAGGACTAGGTAAATTGTTAGTATCACCTTCATAAACTCATGTGCATAAATATAAGTGATCAACTTATTTATATAATCATTATTTTTTCCCATATTTCAACTGATGAAGAGAGCAAATACTAAGAGTGGCCAATAAGTCTTCAACTTAGCAGTACTCTCTTTTCAATAAGTGGCTTCTTTGCAAGAGCCTTTGGAGCACTCAAGCCTTATAGTTAGACAAAACTAGGTAAGACTCATAAATCTACTTATCTAAGTACCAAAATGATACAGCATAATAAATGTGAACTTGAAAGGGAAATTGCCACTTTTAACTATCTGTCAAGTCTCCCTTAGAAAACCTTACATAGAGGCATCAGTAACAATCTGTATAAATGCTATTAGCTTTATTTTTAAGAAATTCACCTGCATGCATACTAACATTCTCCTGTCCCTCTAGAGCATCTTACAGTCACCAGTGTAATTATATGCTCCTTCTAAGGCCACTATTTTAGAGAATTCGTTTATATAATGTTCATTTCTTTTTCCCCTGAAAAGAAACTTTTAATATTTTCTTCTAGAAAAATATTTTAACAGTTCAATAGTCAACATACCTTTGACTTTTTTTCTAGTTTCATCATTAGCAGTTTTAGTAGTTGGATTGTTAAATGCTTTTAGAATGCTAGCTTGTATTCTCTGTAAAACAAAGTTAACAGAATCAAATCTAGTACTAGTTAACTAAGACCTTATTCTCTTAATAAAAAGACTTTCAAGTAGCAAGGTACACTGTAGATCTGTTACCTAGCCTAAAAATAAAGTGTGACTTAAAAAAAATCAAATATGCCCCTCTATTCATAGTTCTAAAATTTCATGACTCAGTAACTTTCTACTGCCAAATTCTCACAAGACTCAAAATTACTATGTTTACGTTCTCTCTTGGGTTTAACATGTTTTACAGTTACCTAGCCTAAAAATAAAGTGTGACTTAAAAAAAAATCAAATATGCCCCTCTATTCATAGTTCTAAAATTTCATGACTCAGTAACTTCCTAATGCCAAATTCTCACAAGACTCAAAATTACTATGTTTACGTTCTCTCTTGGGTTTAACATGTTTTTATTAGTCTATGAAAGCAAGCAATCTAGATTGCTTTTTCTTATAGGCTTAGAGTCAGTTTATCCCCTCTCCATCTCTAAAATGAAATTAATCAGGACAAAAACAAAGCAAAACTAACAGACCATATAAAATTTCTTGTCTAAGAAGAAACCTTTAAAGGGTATGTAAAAAAATTGAGATGTGTTATGTACATGTACCAACTCCCCATAATGAATGTAATCATTATGTACTGCAAACATGTACTAATAAAAATAAATTTAATAGAAATCATTAATATGACACTATATAGTAATAAAAATAAAAATTAAAAGAGATAAAACATATATCAAGCTGGTTACTATGCTACCCACAATACACACACACACACACACACACACACACACACACACACACACACAAAACTAAAGTCCAGAATATCAATTTAGTATACCAAAAAGAATCCCCCAAATGTTAATTATGGTTTTATTTTAGGGTTAGTTGTCAATAATGATCATGTCTGCAGGAGCTCTTAGTAAATGACAAAGTTTATATTTCTCTATTTTTGTGTATGTTTTAAGGCAGATTCAATCTCACAGAAAACTTTCAGAACAAAATAAAACTATTCCAAGAATAAAGAATTAAGTTGATAAATTATCTTTTATACTAGTTGTGTTCCTAATTAGTGAATGAATTTTGTCTGTTCTAATTCACACTGTGATCATGGAGTAAAGAAGTTTGTTAATTTTCTTTCAAAATTTTTTTCTTTCTCAAAAGATATTTTCCTTGATCGTAAGTTTTAATATATAAAACCACTATCTGAGTCGGACTTTAAAGTGTGAAAATGATAAATAATTTGGTTGCAAAAACAATTATGTCAAAGAGAAATTAAATTCAAATTGCACACTTTCCAGAGAATAAAAACATACCACATCGTCCGAGGTATTTCCCAGGGTTCAAAGGAAATTTCACAGCCTTAACTATTTCAATCAAGTGAAAAGGATAAAAACAAATGGATTAAGCAGTCAACATAAAGGAGAAAAAACAACAAAACTAAAATTAGAGGGTTGGGATTTAGCTCAGTGGTTCTGCTGCCTGCTTCACAAGTTCAAGATTCCGAGTTCAATCCCCAGTACAAAAAACAACAACAAAAAAAAAAAAAAAAAAAAAAAACCTAAAATTAGAGCTGGGGATTTAGTTCAGTGGTGCCACATCTGCCTTTCAAGAGCAAGGTCCTAAGCTTGATCCCTGGTACCGAGAAAAAAAAAAAAAAAAAACTAAAGTTTTTTAAAGTTTCTTTAATTTTGTTAGTGGTTTCTCATATTTCTTTGGTGTGATAGTATATATTACACTATTACCTTACCCAGGGGTAAGCCAGATGTGCTGGCTTTAACAAGCCTCACTGAGAACACATTTGTTTTATTTTTAATTTGTATTAGTATACATTTGCATTACATAACGACTGCATTCATTGTGGGGAGCTGGTACATGTACATAACATCTTAATTCATTCTATGTCTCCTTTCCCTTCCCTCCCTCCATCTCATGGTCCCCTTCCATTTGTAAATGATCTAGCTCCGTTTCTTATCTATCCTTCATTTTGCTCTTCATTTATATTTTGGGTTTCTCATGTAAAAGAAATCTTGTGAGATTTAAGCTTATGTGTCTGATTTATTTCATTTAACATTATGGCCTCAAGGTGCATCCATTCCTACAAATGACTCAAATTTATCCTTCTTTATAGCAGAAAGCCAGATCATCCTCCGAAGGCTCTCTCAGCTTATCTTCTTTAAGGATCTCTCAGCCAATAATAGCACAAGTTTGTGCTTGCTACCCAGGTTCCAAAGCTAAATAATTTACATTATTTATGAGTACATAGGTAGCTCTCAAAACTCTGAGAAAAACAATGCAATGATCTTTGTAAAAGACAAAATGGTGTGTATTTATGATGAATTGTTTTGCTTGTTTTAGCTTTTGTTACTGTTGTTGATTTGTTTTTTGGATTTGAACCCAGGGCCTCCCACACACTAGACAAGCACTCTACCACCAAGCCACAGCCTTTTTTTGGGGGCGGGTACCAGGGATCACACTCAGACCCTTGCACTTGCAAGGCAGGTGGCGAAAACCACTGAGCCAAATCCCCAGGCAGCCCTATTTATTTTTGAGACAAGATCTTGATAAGTATCTCAAACTGGGCTTGAACCAGTCACCTTCCTGCCTCACCTAGATTAGCTGAGATTACAGGTGTGCATCAGCAAGCCTTGCCTAGGGACAAGTATTTAAAGAGGAACAGGCAGCTTCTATGATACTAATAATACCGTGTGTGTGTGTGTGTGTGTGTGTGTGTGTGTGTGTGTGTGTGTTTCTAGAGATGGAACCCAGGGCCTTGTATATGCCAGGCAAGTAATCTATCACCGAGCAACATACCCAGCCCAATAGTCTATTTAGTTTCGTTGTTTTTTTTCTGATACCAGGGATTTTACTCAGGACTTTGCACTTGCCAAGCAGGTGAAGCGGAGCTACATTCCTGGCCCTATTTAGTCTATTTTTTAACTTGGTGTTGCAGGTAAGGGTGGAGAGGAAATTTGTTTCTTGCTATGTATTGAGCTGAATATACATATTATATATATATATATAATATATATATAAATATATAGTGTGTGTGTGTGTGCACATGACATATGTTGTGTAACAAGTTTTTAATGTCCCCACCTCCAACAATTGTAAAAACAAGTTGTATTTATTAACTGAAAATAGTTCCATTCCTGTAACTGCTATTTTCATTAAAGCTATATGGTAGTTAACACAAGATTCAAAACACTTCAATATTTACAAAGTAGGGTATAAAACTAACATGAAATAATTCATACCATATTACACTGCCATGAAATGTATGCTAAGGAAATCAAAACAATAAAATGTCTCCTAGATCTCCAAATACTGAGAAAACATCTAACTCAAATTCAATAAATCTGAGTTAATATACTGCAGATGTTTTCTAAGGTAAAGGTAATTTTCATTCTTTGAAAAAAAGATTTTACTGAATTAAAATGAAATTAGAATGATATAATTCTACACAGGAGAATTATTTAATGGACTGAAATAGAAAATTCTAACGAAAACCAGAATTCACCTTAACTATAGCCCTTCAAGCAGGTAAAGACAAAGGTCTCTAATGTAAATTAAAACTTTTCTACAACTTAAAATTTGTACTAATTCAGACACGAATTTCATTGCTTAAAGACTGCCATATTCTGTAATGTAAAATTACACACAAACTAAAAGTTCACCAATCACTCAGAAAAAGACTAGAACAATGTTACTGTTTAAATGATTAACTCAATGTTAAACCTCTGCTTTTTCATATATTCTAACTACAAATTTATATTATCTTCCCTAAACTTAAGAGTTCATTAAAATATGTAATTTATCAAGTTACCTACTGAATAAAATAAATGGATTTAGGTCCTTATGACCCAGACTTTGGACCATTTAGGTTAAAAGGAAAAAGAGAGATGTTGGCCAGGGAGGTACCTATAACTGCAGCACATCAATCAATCAGCAGTATAAAAGTTCAACTACTGTATATCTCCCTCCTGAACTTCTTTCAAAAACAAGAGTCAAACTCTGTACAGTTTAAGTTACGTAAGATATTCTACCTTTAAAATAATTCTATCCAACAATATGTTGAGGTGATATATTTTAAGATAATAAAAATGCAGTATGAATTTAGTTGATAGCTCCAATTAGAAAAAAGCAAAGCAGCACAAATCTGTAAGTTGAAGAGTGTCTATAAAAGAACTGCTTGTAGTACATGTGATATACATGTCTGTACATGAAAAATGTATAATGTCTGTACAAATGATCCAGTAAGAGTTGTATTCTATTCAGTGAGTATATTCCTCAACTTTATAATCAAAAGAAAAGACTGTAGTGAAACAATATGAAAGAAGGTCAGTAGTTTTCAGGTATTACTGAAAGATTCTGGCGGCAGACATAACACTGTAGCCCTTCTTTAATCAAAAAGCACAAGGCAGTGACACCCTCCAACCACACACGATTAACAGCTGTGGCATTCCCAGGCCAGACAATGCAGCTCCTGCCTGGGTACTCACTGTAACTGACTGCACAACTGTTCCTGCTATGAGACTGAATACATCCACAAACATGACATTGTAATTTTGTCACATCATCTAAAGGCTGCAAATAGCAGACTAAAAATAAGAGTTTTCAAGAACCAATGCATACTGCTTGTGTTTCTACAATACTGTTCATCCTACTGCATCATTCTGATTAAACAATAACTTAACTGTACCACAGGCTGTCATCAAGTTATAGAAGTAAACAGAAAAAAAAATGAAAGATTTTGTTGTTTTGCTTATAATATAAAAAGAAAAAAAACAATGCAAAGAGGTGATTTTTAATCCATTTACAATGATACAAGAACACCATGTAATAAACATAGTTCTGCAAATCCTGGAGGGGAGATCTTCTGGCAACTAACAGTCTGAGTTAATTTGAAAGTAACTATTGTATCATCTGTCAGCCCAGGAATACCATACGGCATTTCTATTCATAATACAAAGAACAATCTCTCTCCACCTTGCCACCGTGTACCTACCCCTAATGAGCATATCAATATACTATAGTTATTGAATTAAATTTAATTCAATAGTGAAAATGTTTAATAGTTTAAATAATAGGTTTTAAAATATTGTTTATTCTCATCATGGTAACCAAGCAATAAAACTAAACTTTAATATGTAGTACTGGTATAATATTAGAAAACCATTTATTTGGAAATCAGAAAGACTTGAGCTTGAATTTCCACTCTAACTATAATTTTCTAGGTCTAAGAAAATGTGATCAAGTATTAGCTCAAGGGGATTGTGCTAATATCCCCCAAACTTAATTATAAATCTCTTAATTGATTGTTTTAAGCAAAAACAGGTAAAGCATAAAGCATTTATTATCCTATCACTGTAACCATTTATTCAAATTACAGTATATTCAAAATAACTGTTAATCTCCATGATATCAGTTCATATAACTTATTTGAGGGACTATTAATTTTGTCCTCTTCCCAATTCAAATTCTCAAAAGATACTGCAATTAAGAACACACAACACATTCAACAGACATTTATTAAACACCAAGCCAATGAAACAGAGATAATTCATAGTACCAGTGAGATCACAATCCAAGAAGGTGACAGATGACATAAAGTTAAATAAAAGGTGGCATGGTTCACAATTTTTTAAATGCATAAAAATAAAAAGGTGGCAGATAGCGGGAGATACTTCCAAAAACTGAATTCAACTAATTTAACTGAAAGTTAAAAAGGGGACAATTGAACATTAGGATTGTAATATATACAGTTTTGTAACAGAACAGATTATTAATTCATTCTTAATTTAAGACAATTTAAAAATATTATTAGAATCCTACTCTCTCTTAGCCAAAAATTGGCCATTAAATGTACAGAGAATTGCCAGATGTGGTGGCACAGGTCTCTAATCCCAGCACTCAGGAGGCTGAGGCAAGAGGACTGCTATGAGTTTGAGGCCGCACTGAGCTACAAAGTGAGTTCAAGGCCAGCCTGAGCTACATAGTGAAACCTTGTCTCAAAAAGTAAAAATGAATAAAAAATAAGTACAGTGTTCAATTCAAACAAAGCAGGCTTTTAAAAGGGGGAGTAAGTGGGATATTGTTCAGTGATAGAGTACGTGCCTACTATCACAAGACCTTGAATTTGATCCGTGGCATTGCAAGAAAGGAAAATAAATAAATAGAAAGGCTACTTTATTACATGTTACCATATATAAACAGATTAAGAAGTATACTTGTCTCCAATAGAAAACAAGCTTTTCATTTATTATGCCAATTACGCTTTTGATTGATGGGGTGGTTTACAGTGGTATGATCAGAGAGTATGTCCAAGGCTCAATGTAGACTCAGGAAAACTGTTACAAATGACTACAATGTCTCCTATGAGTAAGAAAGTAGGAAAATGGATGCCTTAGTCTACAGTCTATTGCTGTAATGAAATACTTAAGACCAGGTAATTTATAAAGAGTAGAAGTTGGGCCAGGATTTTGCTCAGTGGCACTGTACCTGCCAGGCAAGCACAAAGTCCTAAGTTCAATTCCCGGTAGCATGGGGTAAAAAAAAAAAAAGAGTACAAGTTTATTTAGCTCATGGTTCTAGAGGTTGGGAGGTATTATATATAAAAAATTAAATATTTGCCTAGAACCCCCCCAAAGTTGAATTTTACTAATTTAACACTAAAGTCAGGAAACAACCAATCCAACCCAGTAATGGACAGGACTATAATAAACACTAAGAGTCTGTTTATCAGCTATTCCTTCTTTTCTGAGAGGAGTTCCCTGATTCACAAGGCTGAGACTATGCACCTGGTCACCACTGACTAATCTCCAAACGTAACCTAATCCAGCATGGGACAATGATATTTCACTGTCCTGGGCAGACTGTCAGCTCATTTTCTACATATGTGGAACTGCAGCATGCATATTATACATGCTACCACTCACACAGAAACACACTATTGAGTTTGCAGAGAGATAAATGAAAACCTACAGAGAAAAAGGGAAATGAGGTGAATACTTTCTAGACTCTTGATTACTCTTCTGCCTTTATACCCCTGAGATATATCTTCCTTGGCCTAGGTCTTTAACACTCTCTTTTTTGTTTGTTTGTTTGTTTTTGAGATAAGGCCAAAAACCTCTATGTTGCCCAGGCTGGCCCCAAGTTTATGAGCTCAATCGATCCTCTTGCCTCAGCTTCCCAAGTATCTGAGGCTACAGGTGTGCACCATCCTGCCCAGCTAAGATTCTCTTTTCTTTATTTAAGCTAGTTTGAATTATTTCATTTACAAGTGACATTAATAAAGGATAATAAGGCTATAAAAGGATAAAAGAAAATAATACACAGGAAAGGAATAAAAAGTATAGGACACCAAAAAAAAAAAAATCAAATGACTTCTGACTGTATTTTAAAATTATAGTAGAAATTCTTTCTGTTGTGTATCCTTTTCTTAAAGAGAAAATGCAATTAAACATTAAGAAACCTGACCTTTGTTTCTTCTGTCCTCACTGCATCCAACAAATAATGAAGAAGCTCCTGACTATCCTGTTGTTGGAAACCTTTAAATCGAGGTGCCCTATGATTTAAAAACAAATCAGAAAAGAAAACAATAATCATTCCATGGGTCATTGACAATGTTATTCTTACTTAAAAATCACTTTGAAATAACAGCCAATTAAATTTACTACTTTTTCAAGTAAGGAGGACAAAATATGATTCTTATTCTAATCAGGATGAGCTTATAAGTGTACATTGAGAACAAAATGGCTGTAATTTATTAAACAACTATTTTAAGTTGAGTATAGAACAGTTTTACACATTTTAAGTCATAATGTCCCCAATGTGGTTGAGACACACTATTTCCTCCAGCATACACACACACACACACACACACACACACACACGAAGGCTTAGAAGAAGTATTTAAATAATTTGCAAGATCATATAGGTAGGGAAAAAAAAAACATTCAAACCCAAGCCACTGTTACATATATTTCTACTTTAAAAACTGAACAGAAAGGCAAGTATTTATATTAAAATCTAAGACTACAAATTGATATCTCTGTAAATGTATCTTTCAGATTTGATAATTAGAGTTCTTGTGTAATTAGTTAAATCTTATGGTAGCACAAGACCAATTTATAATTATTTCATTACAATATACACATGAAAACATACTGTGATATGCACAACATTTTTTAAAGAATTTATAAAAATTGTGAACTGCATTTTACGCTGGAGAGAACTGCAGAACCTAAACGCAGTAGACACCAACTGAGTCTTCTGAGTCCAGAACTTTAAGAATCTTCCTCACTAAGCATCCACCTAGTAACGCTCTGATGTGAGCCTGACTCCAGTGTGAGCCCAAAGAGCTACCTGAAGCAGGAGTGAATCTAGCCCGTGAGGGGAAACACCTTTCATTTCTCTTTGCCAGTATCTTCCCTGGAGGTCTAGTGGTTAGGATTCGGCACTCTCTCTTTGCCAAGTAGTAGCAAATAACCCCATGATGCTGAGAATACTGTCATTTGCTCCCCCACTGGGCTCCCTTTTCTGCATGTGGTAGAAGCCACTGGCCTCCTAGATCAGAGACAAGGAAGAACAGAAACCAAGAGGGACACAAACTCCACCATTACATGGGCACCACAACTGGCACCAAGACAAGCAGAAAGTGTACAACACTGTATTTGAGGTGTAGATACCAGGAAAGGTCAGGGAAGTGGAAGATGACTAGACAGGGAAATGGGAATTTTTCTGGGATCTTCACTAGCCAGGTGCAAGAAGTCAAGGAGGCCCTTTATGTCTTTCAAAGCAAAGACAAAGAAAAAAGCAAAAACACAAAGCCGGGTGCGGTGGCACATGGCTGTAATCCCAGCACTTGGGAGTCTGAGACGGGGGATCGCAGCTAAGTTCAAGGCCAGCCTGGGCTAGTGAGACCCTATCATGAGGAAAAAAGACAAAAGAAAAAAAAAGCAAGGAGACCAGCCTTGAACAAAAACAAAAAACAAAACTGCCTCTACCATGTCTCTTCCAGTTCCATCTCAGCCATGCATGAACTACTTACTGCCTTCTAAATGAACCAACGAAGAAAACGTAATAAAACTGAAAAAAATACCACACAATGACTCACAGACTCTCTAATACAGCCTATCTGAGCTACTAATGTCAAAAACCTTCAAACTTAAAGGCTACAAAGAAAGAAAATCCATCATATAAAAATATTCAGCCTAATCAAAATAAAGGAAACACTAGGGTCGGGATTTAGCTCAGTGGTTCCAGCGCCTGCCTCGAAAGTGCAAAGGCCAAGTTCAATCCCTGGTACTAAATAAATAAATAAATAAATAAATAAAGGAAACACTAAATATTCAGAGGAACTTTTAACTTAGTAAAAGTGGGGGAAGAAAAAGAAAAAAAAAGAAGTTAATGTGATCCTAGCCAATTTAGCAAGACCCTGTCTCACATTTAAAAATGTAATCAAGGGAGATGTAGCTCAGAGGCAGAGTGCTTGTAGCATGTACGAGCCCTTGGGTTCAATCCCTGGCACCACAAAACAAAAGCACAAACAAAGCAACTTCAAGATGTAATAGAAGAATATATGTATAAGCACAAAACAGGAGATCATCAAGAGAGAGAAAAAATTTGGAACAGGAATCTGTGGAGATGCCTTCTCGGTAGTGGGGAATTAGACACAGTCCAAAAACTTACTATACTACAAACATATCAATGAACTATATAGAGAGGGGAAAAAAGTATAAATGGGATTCAATATAAAATAAATCCCACCAAATCATAAACCTATAACAATAACCTATAATCATAAACAAAATAATAACCTATAATAATAAACAAAAAATTCAGACTCATTGGGTCTGAAAGAGCTCAACACTGAGGGATAAAGGCAAGAACCGGAGCCAGGCTCATTAGTGTATCAGGCCTGGTAGCTTCCTCTAGAGCCAGAAAGGAAGCCCTTAGGTAAACACTGCCTAAGGCTACATACAGAGAGCACAGACACAGCCCAGACAGCAGAGCCAGCCTTTGACAGACTCACATTCCCACAACAAGCAGCACAGATGTACCTACAAACCCATAAGACATCAGACCTCAAGGCTTAGCGCACGGCCAACTTAACACTGTCAGGCAGAGAGGAGTAAATACGAGAAGTGATGGACAGGAGAACGGAAGTGCTGAGAATGGTAGAGGAGGAAGGGAGGAGTAGAAAAAACAGAAAGCAGGGAAACAAAGACGAGGAAAAATGAACAAAGACCTACTCTAAATGACACTACAAACCAGTAAGACACATGAAGAAATTTAATGCTGAAAAAAAAAATCAACTATTAGAATGAATTTGCATTATCTCAAATAAATGGCATAAAAATGTTGCAGTATGTTGAAAAGGTACAAAAGCACAAAATAAATGTGTGTCAATTAAACTAGATATTAATAAAATAGGAACAAATTAACAGGTGGTTATTAAAAAGCTAACCAATTAAAAATACTAGAAACAATAAAATAAAATTGAAGTAGAATAGAAAAGTAAGATTTTATACCTACTGGTACAAAAAAAATCATAATTTTGGGGCCGGAGATTTAGCTTAGTGGCGCAGCACCTGCTTCGTAAGCACAAGGTCCCAAGTTCAATCCCCAGTACCAGAAAAGAAAAACAAAATCAAAATTTTCAAATTTTCTTTTAAGCTAGGTATAGTAGCACATGCCCATGATACCAGCACTTGGGAGGCTATGGCAAAAGGACTGTAGTGAGTTTGATGCAAGCCTCGGCTACACAGTTGAGTTCAAGGCCAGCTCAAACAACATAGCAAGACACCATCTCACCAAAAAATAAAATAAAACAGTGCTTTAATAAAATAAAACTCCAGATTCAGGTCACAAACCCAGTCAAAACTTTCTAAGGTCCTTAAAGATACAAAAAGCCTAGGCCATTCCTCTTCACCTATAAATGGGCCTTTTCCAGCTGTGAGTAGACCACCTTTTTCACCTGTAAGATGGGCCTTTCCCTAGTGATGGTTGCCACCTATGTATGGGCCATCACTTTTCCTGCACAAAGAGCTGTGTCATCTGTAAACTGAATTCTTGTTTTTCCAAAGATTCAAATTCTACAGATTTCCGCCCCCATAAATACACCTAGCTCAATGCCTCTCTCGAGGGCACATACACTATTTTCTTTGAGTATGTACTTTGGTTTTCTGCTTTATCAACCTCTTTATGCCTCTTACTGACTGAAAATTCTTTTTGTGTGCTGGAAGTGAGCAAGCCAGGCAACATGGGTGGAGTGAGTATCACTGATTTGGGGATTTACTTGGATCCTGTCCAGTGACATTATCCCACATAGAAATACAAAAAAAATCCAAAACATATCTAAACACAGATGAAGGGTGAATTAGTAAATTAGAAAACAGCATTACCTGGGGTATGGTGGTGCACTCCCAGCACTCCAGGAGGCTGAGACAGAAAGAGTGATTTTGCTTTTTTGTTTTGTTTTGTGTTTGTTTTTTGAGAGAGTCTTGCTGGGTACTCCAGGCTGGCCTTGAACTCCTTGTGTATCCCAGGCTCTCAAACTTGTGGCAATCCTCCTTCCTCAGCCTCCTGAGTGCTGGGACTCTAGCTGTGCACCACCATGACTAGCTAAGACATGAAGACTGAAAGTTTGAGCCCAGCTTGGACAACTTAGCAAAACTCGGTCTCAAAGTAAAAAAATTTTTAAAGGCTGAGAATATGGATCAGTGAGAAGACTCTAGGTTTAGTCCTAGTACCACAAAAAAATGAAGAAAGAAGGAAGGCAAGAAAGGATGGAGGGAGAGAGGGAGAAGGGGAGGTTACTGAAGTGAGCTGGGATTATAGTTCAGTGCAAAGGCTCTGGGTCCAGTCCTCAGTAGCACACATACACACACACACACAGAGAAAAGAAAACAATACCAAAATGGGCTGGGATGTAGCTTAGTGGTAAAATACAACCTAGCACTGAAAAACAAGAAACAAAACAAAACACACTTAGGAATATAGCCAGACTAGTATAGTATTCTGTACTGTACTTTCATTCTAGCAGAGATTCTGGTGGCTCACAGAATACTACTAAAACCACAAACACTGTCACCATCCATTTATCCAGCTAATTACATTGCCTCAGGGAAAAGCTACTCCTTCTGGTGCCAATATCAAAAGCTCAGCACAAGGCGCACGCATGTAATTCCAGTACTCGGAAGGCTGAGGCAGGAGGATTGTTGCAAGTTTGAGGTCAGCCTGGGCTACATAGTAAGTTCAAGGCCAGCCTGAACTGCATAGTGAGATTCTATCTCAAAAAACAAATAAAAAAGAAGCTCAGCACATCAGTGCTGGTTCACCAAAGGAAGAAATAAAGGGAGTGAAAGAAGACAAGCATGAAGGAGAATGGACAGACAGACTCACTCTAAACTCTGAACCTTCTAAGAAGAAATGCAAGTAAAAGCTCGTGAAATAAGATATGTACCAGAGATAAAAGTATGCTAGTACTGCCTTCTGGTTTTAACAATGTATTATTGTGTAAGATAGAATTATGGATGAAGCTGGAAGAAGGATATACAGGAACTCTATACTATTTCTGTAACTTGATATGAATCTTAAAATTATTTCAAAATAAAATCATTTACCAAAAAAAAAGAAAGAAAGATATTGAAGAATCTGGTCCAAAGAAATACACATCAGAAGCAGCTGCAAGACTCTGTCTCAAACAAAGAAATAGATCCAAACATAAATGGCTTAAAACTTTACCAATCTTTACCAATCTTTTCAAAAGTAGCTTTCTTAGTACATTAAAATAAGAAATTTTAGTATACAAAATAAGTACAAAAATGCAAAAGAAAATGTAAATATTTTTCAAATAATGTTATACAGGTATTCTACTTCAAAGAATGTATTCCACAGAGATATTCCTACAAGTGAAATAAGACATCCACACAGACAAAATATACACACACTCAAATAAGGTATATCCATTTGTATTAAAATTAAGATATATAAACTACATTAAGCAAAATAAGCAATTTGTGAACGTCTATATATATATATAATATATATGTGTATATATATATATATATATATAATCCATATATGCAACTACTTTTGAAAAAATAAAAATGTGATGGGTTGCATTGAAAACACAGATGCACTTAAAAATACTGTACAAAGGACCAGGGATTTAACACCTGCTTCACAAGCATAAGGTCTTGAGCTCGATCCTCAGTACCAAAAAAAAAACTGTACAAAATTGCCTTCAGATTTTCTTTACAAGGTATAGATAAAACTTTGTTTAGATGTTTATATGAAACCATGTTTAGATTTAGATCTTTTCTCAAAGACTGCACTTAAAAATACTGTACAAAGGACCAGGGATTTAACACCTGCTTCACAAGCATAAGGTCTTGAGCTCGATCCTCAGTACCAAAAAAAAAACTGTACAAAATTGCCTTCAGATTTTCTTTACAAGGTATAGATAAAACTTTGTTTAGATGTTTATATGAAACCATGTTTAGATTTAGATCTTTTCTCAAAGACACCTCAA